ATTAAATGCACGTTGGTTGCCGTACGACATTTGTGGCCTTGGACCCCAGAGATGGTGGTTTAGGTCTTACTGGCAAACTCACCTGTACAGAGGCTACGGTATGGACGCTAGGTAAGCACCGGCGGAAGTGTGTGCCAAAGTGAACTTGTTCTATTTCAATTATGTCGCCCATTATGCTCTTGTGAACTCACAATATCCGTTTTCGCTTCAATGCCATTTGCTTTAGTCCATTTCTCACGAAGTGTCCCTAACTTCTACTTTAGGTCTGCGCCTGACAGTTCTACTCATTCCAATCCTCCTGATGGTCGTTAACTTTCTCGTAGTGATAGGGCTGCGTTTCAACCCCTCTGGTGCGGTCTTTTATCTTCGGCCCGTCACTGCCGAGCTCACTACTCCCTTCGACGATGGTCCAGTGACTCCTAGCGGCGCCGCTTTTACTCCCTTCCGCTCTGCTCTTGAATTGTCTTTTAACTTCAGCATTGTCTTCTGCTTTGCCTTCCTTATGACCATCGCCTACTCGCCCGCCAGTACTGCTCTTGCGGGTAAGGATAGGCTCTGCTTAGTTATTAAGAAATTTTACAAGTTCAGCCTACGAAAGGGTTGATTGAGGGCTTTGTAACAGCCCTCATCTCAGCATTCATTCATTGAGAGTGGCATAAGTCCGTGGTTTTGAGGGCCGATTTTATGGGTTCTATCATTATTTGTCATTTTGCATAAAGGCAAGCTACGAATGCGTCCAAGGTCAATAGCCCCTTAGTCTTTGGACCTATTTGACTCATGATGAAGCAATGCTACCTTTTGAAGTAATTTTGCCATTTGAATAATTTTCTGATGAACGAAACGAAGTTATGCAATTGAACGGGTTCGAACTAATTTCCAAAATTTCAATGAATTATAAATACGTTAAAAACTTATTGAAATGTGCAACTTATTGAATCAATAGTTGACACAAAACCTACTTTCCCCTTAGGACGATGAGCGCGAGGAGCGTGTAATCAAGGCGTCACCACTTTTTTATATCAGCTACCTTTCATATACACTGCTAATGCTGAGAAAGTTTGGAGATGCCAACGGAGCGAAGGGCGAAGGTGGAGATTAAGCATCACTTTCCTCTATCAAAGTTTAAGCT